GTGCTGCATGGAAAGAGTAAATACTCCGTGAGGAAGTACTTGTTGAGCTGTGGACATGTGGAACAACTTGGTTTTGTCTTTTACATTAGTGTTTAATGCTGCTACTTTATTGTTTTCACCCTTCATGTGACATCTCATTAATCTTTCATGGTAATCCTTTTTACATGCTGGCAGATGCAACCAGTTGAAATAGTATATTAAGCATTCAAAGCCTGAATTTCAAGTTCAGTATTGTGAGATTTAAATTTATCTATTTATTTATTTATTTTGCTTTTTTCATGTTTCAGAATGAGGTTTTATGTTGTTTCTGTCCCAACTTCCCCCCCATCAGATGTCATTTTATATTTATTGGTTAGAACACACACATACCATGTGTATTCCTGAAGAACCTTTAACCGAGCTTTACTGAGTAGAAGATACAGTGGGAGTAATGCTAAAATTTTGCTATACTATCTTACTGATCATCTATAGCTAAGTTATTTCAAGGGTAGATGCGTGCTTTTTATTCTGTTACATTCAATTCAAGCCTTTCAAGAAATAAGAACATAAGGGAAATTATATATAGCAGTAGATATTATGCTAGTTTTCTAAATATTTTATCCCTTGATTTTTGATTTTTTTTTTTTCATTGTAGCATTCACCATCTGGTTGGAGGGCTTGAATGTAAAGCGCATACTTTTAAGCATCTGTTAATGACTTTTTGGTAACAAAGGAATATGTTCGTATAGTTATACAGTGAGAACACTAACTGGAGAATGAAGACGTTTTTGTTAAGTTAGGTTTTTGATATACAGTAGTTCATACATGGAATTTATGCTATTTGGCACTATGCTGTTCAGGTAGCTGTGAAGTATGGTCTTACATTGTCTTCCTAAGAAGATTAGTGTAAAGTGGTTTTCTCTGTTGCTATATTGTTTTTTCTGAAGCATGGTGTATCACCTTGGTCTGTTTGACAGTGTTGATTTGCTCTTTGTTTACACCACTTTTACCCAAACTAATAATTTAATTGAGCAATCTAAAGTTCTTTGTAACATAACCATCAATTTTAAAAGGTGATACGAAATACATTTTGTAGGTTCTAAATTGGGAATGGTGAGCACATTGAAGGGTCGCATCATAAGACACCACATGCTGGCTACCTGCTTGCTCAGAAAGCTGCTGTACTGAGAAGGAGCAGATGCTGGTGCCAAGTGCCCTTGTGGTGAAAAAGGACAGTTATATTTTGCGTTGTCCTAGCAAGTATAGGACCAGTAGGTCAGGGGAAGAGACAGATCATTTCCCTTTCTTTGGCACTTGTTAATCTACATCTGGAGTTCAGTGTCCAATTTGGTGCTCCCCAACAGAGAAGGGAAAAGCTGACTGGGACAAGTGCAGTAGAGGCCCAAGATCGTCAGGGGGCTTGAACCCATGGTGTGTGAGGAGAAGCCAAGGGAGCTGGCCTTGTTCAGCCTGGGGAAGAGGAGGCTCAGGGAGGACCTCATCACTGTCTTTGAGTACATTATGGAGAGGCCAGAAACAGACTCTTGTCAGAGCTTCACAGTGAAAGGTCAAAAGGCAATGGGCACAAGTTGTAGCAAAGGAAATTCCAACTGGATCTTGGAAAAAAATCACTGTGTGGGCAGTCAGACACCGGAACAAGTTTCCCAAAGGATTTGTGGAATAATCTCCATCCATAGAGACTTTCAAAGCTCAGCTGGACAGGTTTCACAGTAACCTGATCTAATTTTCAAGTTCGCCTCGCTTTGAGCAGGTGGCTGAATCCATTGGCCTGCAGAGGTAGGCCTTCCTACCTGAATTATTCTGTAAATCTAACCAAATTAATCCTTTTTGCAATTCTACTTATATCTTACCTCTTCAATTGACTTCACTGGACTTGGTGTAGTGTCATTAGGAATTAATTTAACCCTTGTGGTTTTTTCTCATTACTCCCAACCCAGTTTTCTCAATTAGCTCAATGGTGAATGAACCCCTGCACTTCTTAATAGTGCTGGCCCATATCTTAACTCCTGCCTGCTTCCAAGTGTACTGATAAACAGCTAAGACAGATAATTTTATATGATGTGCACTCACACACAACCATTTTTTTTGGACAATATTCTGAAACAAACCCTTAAAATTTTAGAAGACTTAGACTATTATTTGTTTAGATAACATTTTAAGTGTCGGGGAAGCTTACAGTAATGGGAGACAATAAAAAAAAAAAAAAAAGCTCATATTTACTAGACTATCCACGTCCAGAAATGACTTCTGTCTATATTGCAGACATATCATACCAATCGTAGCTTCTCCTCCTTTCATTTGATGAAGACTTCTCTTCATTTCCCTTCCACAGTTGTCTGCCCTTTGCCCATTAACACAGACTCCCACGTGTCTCCTAATGAGAAACTTAACTGGGAAAGCAAATTGCTTTTGGAGAGCTAATCAGATGCTCCCACAGTCAGATGTCCTGTGTAGGTTACAGCTGTAAATCTGAGATGCCGTGTCCTTGTCTTGTCTCAGATGCTGTAAACCATAGGCCTGATCCTACGTCCAGATAGTTTACATGAGTGCTTATCAGAACAGTAATGCTAATGTTCAATAAAGGTATGTTTAAAAAAATAATAATCAGAAAAATATTCTTTATGCCATAATTAAAATATAGAGTAGGATGAAATCTTGATCTAAGTCCTGCAAAGCCTGTTCTCTTTTGTCTTGCCTTTTGACACTGAAACATCTGTAACTATGCAACAAAGCATATGGGTGCACTGACAATGTGGGAGTGCAGCCAATTCAGTCCTGGGATAAAAACAGGAATTAGGTGATGGAAGTAAGCCAAAGAAGTGTGATTCCCACATAAGGGACTTAAAAAGGTGTTAGTCCATAAAGAAGCTCTTTGGCAGGATTTATAGCAGGCCTCTAGACAGAACGCATTTTTCTTGAGGTCCTAAGTGAGCTGAAGTGCACTACCTTCCAGGAGGGTGGTGGGATTATTGTCTTGTCAGCTGGTGCTTTCCTCTTTCTTTTTTCTTCTTAAAAATAAACCCTTTGTAGCACATTATGGTATAATTATAATCCCATTTGTAGTTTTACAGAACTAAACTATTTACTTCAAATGATCATGGGATGAAAACCAGAGTAAATGTTTCTGCTGCGTGGGGCCCTCAGGTTTCCTCCATTCTGATCTGTGGCATACCTTTTGCAGTGTAGCTCGTTGGGCAACCTAGACTGTTTTCAGCAAACTGCATTGATCCCAACATAAAAAACTCAATGTTAACTCTTTAAGTATTTGCACATTGTGTCTGTAGTTTTCATTTGTCTCACCTCAGCCTTAGAAAATAAGTAATTGGGCGTGCAGTAGCTTCAAAAAGTGATGACACCAACCCAATTTGTTTGCAACAGAATTAGTATATAGAATCATAGAATGGCTTGGGTTGGAAGGGACCTTAAAGATCATCTACCTCCTATGACCCTGCCATAGGCAGGGATGCCACCTACTAGATCAGTATGGCCAGGGCCCTGTCCAGCCCGGCCTTGAACACCTTCAGGGATGGGACCTCCACAGCCTCTCTGGACAACCTGTGCCAGTTCCTTATTACCCTTACAGTGAGGAATTTCTTCCTAATATGTAGTCTGAATCTATCCTCTTTTAGTTTAAGACAATTCCCCCTTGTCTTATCATTATCTACCCCAGTAAACAGTTCTTCTCCATCTGTTTTGTAAGACCCCTTTAAGTATCAAAAGGTTGCAGTGAGGTCTCTCTGGAGCCTTCTCTTCTCCAGGCTGTTCATCCCAAGCTCTCTCAGCCTTTCTTCACAGGAGAGGTGCTTCAGCCCTCTGATTATCTTTGTGGCCCTCCTCTGGACCCGCTCTAACAGCGCCACATCCTTGTTGTGCTGGGGGCCCCAGACTTGAATGCAGCACTCCAGGTGGAGCCTCACAAGGGCAGAGCACAGGGGCACAATCACTTCTCTTGTCCTGCTGGCCGCTCCTCTGGTGATGCAGCCCAGGATGCAGCTGGCCTTCTGGGCTGCAAGTGCACACTGCTGACTCATATCAAGTCTTTTACCCACCAGAACTCCCAAGTCCTTCTCTGCAGGGCTGTTCTCAGTGAGTTCTTCTCCCAATCTGAACTGCCTGGGATTGTCCTGGACCAGGGACACTTGGACTTTTTGAACCTCGTGTGGTTCAATCATATATTTAATGATTACCAGAGTCCATAGAGTTGAGTTACAGACTGATTTCCATAACATTTTTTCTGAAGTACAAACTTTTTTAACATTTCACAGAAGTGGTGTTCTACTGTGTTCTGTGATATAGGTAGCCAGTTGGGCATGTTTTTAGAGGCATGAGCATACTTTATGTAATGAAGGAGTAACAAAATCAAACACAGAAGGACATTCATTCAGAAATGCATTTCTTATTTTTGCTCAAGCCTGATGAAGTTCAGTTGTTCTAATACTCAAGACATCCAAGTCACTGCCCATAGAGGTCATTGGATCAAACCCCCAGCTCAAAGCAGGGCCAACAAGTTAGATTAGGTTATTGCAGTTATTATAAGCCATCTGCAGCTGAATTTGAAAGTCTCCAAGGATGGAGTTTATTCCACAAATCCTCCACAAATTATTCCACAAATCCTCTGGGAAAGTTATTCCAGTGTACTGAGCAATAAATTGGGGAAAGTAGTATTTTAAAGTATGTTTATATACTGCACTCATTTTGCAGCACTTCTTTAAAGACTCCTATTTATAGTAACCTAGGATTTAAAAAATAAAATCAAAATAAATCTTTAGGCATTCTTATAAATAGAATGAATTGTACTTTTGAGCTTGGGGAAGCAAAATGAGGCACTTTTGAACACTGAAGCCAGTGAATTTGTATGAGTGTGAGTGAGCATTTGGCTCCTTGTTTTCACCAGGTATTATTTCTGTTTGTTCCTTTTAAGCAATGTTTATATGTGCATAAGAACAAAGAGAACTCTTTTTTTTTTTTTTTTATTTCTATTTTCCTTCTTTCTGTTGTAGGCAAGTATTTCCAAATGGGCTTCCTGAAGAATACTCTCTAGTTGCTACGTTCCGTGTACGGCGAAATACAAAGAAAGAGCGTTGGTATATATGGCAAATTTTAAATCAGCATGACACTCCTGAGGTTAGAGTTGTCTTTGTTTTTGTTTTTTTTTAATTATTATTTTATCTTTTTCTCCCCACGTAATATGATAAATATCACTTTGTGGATGTTTTACCACTGAATTTAGCTACACTTTAGACATAGTAGACAGACTGATCTGATATAGTTCATGATTTATTATAGGAATGACAAAAATTTAAGAAAATTTATTCAGTTAGGACTGTGAACAAGGATAGAAGGCATGCTTGATTTATAGCTGATATATTTTTACAAAGTTACATAAAAAAAAAAAAGATGCTTCATAATTCTAGTCCAATCTGTGTAATGAAAGTTTATTACATATAGTTTATGTATGAGTTTAACTATTCTACTCTAACTTTTAAATGACTGCTTCTTCTATTTCACTTTGCTTTCAGATCTCTGTCCTTCTGGATGGTTCAAAAAAGGTCGTGGAGTATATGACCAAATCCACTCAGGGAAATATACTGCACTACACTTTTAAGAGTCGAGAAATTTATCCATTGTTCGATCGGCAGTGGCATAAACTTGGTATTAGCGTGCAGTCGGGGATCATTTCCCTCTATTTGGATTGTAATTTAATTGAGAGAAAACAGACTGATGAAAAATTCACCATTGACTTGCAGGGAAGGACTCTGATTGCTTCTCGTGCTACAGATGATAAGCCTGTAGATGTGAGTAGTATGAAAGCAAAACTGGAAAACTTGAAATCATGTTTTATCCACACTTCTACCATCATAAAGAATTGGGTAGGGAAAAAATGGTTCAAAACAGGTTATTAATTTTGAGTGTGAATTCTTAATTTACAATCTTTAGGTCTTTTCTAAACAATGTTAAGTGCTGTAGAGTCCGCTAAGGCAAACCTTCTGTTACCAAAGTAACTACAAAAACTCAGTCCTGGTTTCAAGAGTCTAGTTTTCTGTGTTTACTTTGGAGTAACAGCCATGTAGTTACCATAGACATGTTACTACACTTAAGAGATCACTCCAGTAGTAATGTTTTTTTCTTTCAATTTTTATGAGATTTAGCTATTGGGATGACAAATGCTAGTTTGTATCAGTCATCTGTTACAGTTTGTCCCCCTATGATGAGCAGAAGAAACCCAAAAAATTAGATTGCCTATGGTTTCAAGGTTGTATCAATCCAAGGTAATTCAGTTATGCAGAAATATGAACACCTTGTTCATAGTTCATCCCTCCTTCAAATGAGAGGGATGAGGAAGTGGCTGAATGTGCATTTCCTGCAGTCTTTGATGCAAACAACTGACTTGCACGTGCAGCTGGCAATTGTAAAGTAGTCCAGTTCCTCCACCCTTTCCTACAAAACGCAGTGGGCAAGATCTGCTGAATGAAATGCAAATACAAGGAAAATAAGCTGCTGTGGAGTGTTCCTGAAAAAAGCAAGCTGTTGCTTCATCTGTAGATAAATGGGGTAATGTGGAATTACCCAAGGCAACCCTTTAATATTATGGGCTTTGTTCTGTTCCAGAAATATCCTCCTCTCTTTCCTTGTATAGAGAGCTCAGAGCAAGCGATTGGAAAGTTCCAGGAAATGTCAGTTTGTTTTAAGTATACTGACATCTCATTACCAGGTTTAAAGCATCTGTCTTGAAGTTTATAGTGGCCATCTGAAAGTTTTAGCTCTATTATGTACATTGTACAGTTCCAGATGAAAATAACATTATTGTAACTGCAAGTTAGCATTATAAGAGGAGTACATTCTGTGAGGTGCTGAAACCTTTGGCCAGGAATCATCAGAGCTCTTATTTTGTAAGGCTAAGTTCATACTTCATTTTATTTTGTAAGACTGAGTTCAAATTTATTTCAAATTTATGTACCATCTCCTTATTTCCAAGTAGCACAGAGGAAAAGTAGCAAATACCTCTAAGCTTGTGTTGATTACAGCTGGATAATCCCAAGTAGAAGTTGGCAGTTGGGTTTTCCATACATGTAGAAAAACATGAACATAAAGCTGATGAAGGCAGCAGAGCAGATCCTGTAGTGACACACTTCTCAATACCAAGTACAAGTGAAAAAATAGGAGAACACAAAGCAGATGCAGAATGAGACATCCTGTAGCAAAACTATTCTCTGAAATTAGGCCCTCCCTACACCTTCCTGTGAGTAAGTGTAAGTCAGTGCAGTCCATGACGTGTTTGGACTTTAGTAAGGGCTGGACAGAATCACAGAATCATCTAGGTTGGAAGAGACCTTCAAGATCACCTAGTCCAACCTCTGACCTAACACTAACAAGTCCTCCACTAAACCATATCACTAAGCTCTACATCTAAACATCTTTTAAAGACCTCCAGGGATGGTGACTCAACCACTTCCCTGGGCAGCTTTTAACAACCTTTTCAGTAAAGAAGTTCTTTCTAATATCCAAACTAAACCTCCCCTGGCACAACTTTAGCCCATTCCCCCTCATCCTGTCGCCAGGCATATGAGGGAATAGACCAACCCCCACCTCACTACAGCCTCCTTTAAGGTACCTGTAGAGTGTGACAAGGTTGCTCCTGAGCCTCTTTTTCTCCAGACTGAACAATCCCAGCTCCCTCAGCTGCTCCTCATAAGACTTGTTCTCCAGACCCCTCACCAGCTTTGTTGCCCTTCCCTGGACTCTCTCAAGCACCTTGATGTCCTTCTTGTAGTGAGGGGCCCAACCAGCTAAAATTAGATGCTGTTCATCTGCTCCGAATCTCTAAAACAGAAGTCTTACATACAGAATTTTTGCTCTTCAATTTAGTGGCAAGGTGCAAAGTGATGGAAGATACACAGGACATAGAGCTTGTCATAACTTTACACTAGCTCACTGCAGGAGAAAATTACATTTTGCAGAGAACATCTAGAGGATTGAAATGCCCATGTAGTCACACTAAGTGCAGCACAGAGGGCTGCAATTTACATGAAGGTAAATGAAATCTAAAATGTGTTTTAATTCAAAGTAAGAGACTGTGTAACTTGTTCCTTAAGTGAGAAAATAAACAATGGTGGGATTTTTTGGTATTGCCAGTATTTCAGAAATATATGCTATTTCAGAGAGAAAGTTTGTTACACCAGGATTAGAAAATACATGCCATAAGATATTTTTTACATTTCACGTTAATCTCTTCTCTTGTGTTTCTTAATAGATTGAACTTCACCGCATAACAGTTTATTGTAATCCAAACGTTGTAACAGAAGATACGTGTTGTGAAATATCTGCTGAGCTGGTAAGTTATTGTTAAAATACAAGTGGTAATATAAAATAAATTATTTCATTGTTTCTTACTAAAGATTGTAAAGAAATTGCAATTGAAGTATTAGATTAATTACCTCCTGAAAATTAATCCTGCATCTGGAGTCATCATGCATTATTTCTTGTTACCAAAACAAATGGCTTAGTGGATCCTCAGTAAAAGGCACTAGGTGCTGCTAGTGCTTTTTAAATGCATTTCTTAAAATTGATTAGTATCTAATTAGTAACTGAGGAAGTCTTAGAGAGTAGGAAACAAATCAGTCATTACCTGAGAATGATGTCAAATAACAGAGAGGCCATTTTAATAACAATTGTATCTATTCTAGCACTATAATTAATAAACAAAGCCCATGAAAGTCTCTGCGTGACAGTGGAAGGAAAGAAAAACAGGAGGGTATTGAGAGTGTTTCCATTATTTCAATTTAATAACATGGAAGAATAGGTGTTCCATAATTGGCAAATACTTTATAGTGCATGTGCTGAGATGTGTATGTTTAACATAAGGGAAAACATTGATTTAGTTCAGTATTCACTTTTCCCTTTTGTTTGGATAGACTGAATCACTATAAACTGTAAGACTAGAATTATAGAAATGCTAGAAGTTATATATGTGAGTAAATATTTTTGCTAAATTAAGTCCATTTAGAGGGGAAAAAAAAAATAAACTCAAAAAAAAAAACCCCAGACATTAAAATATTGCTTTGTTAGTTATGAATATCTAAGAGAAGGCTTCTCTTAAGACCATGAGCACCATCACCTTTCAGCCTGCAGTGAGTCTTACTTGCAGAAGGTCTAATTGATCCTGTGTACAAAGAGATGGGAGAAAGGGGTGCTTGAATGGAGGGATAAAGCTGCCTAAGAACAGAGGAAGATAATAGTTTGTCAGAACTGACAACTGATAGTTGATCAGAGGCATTAAAGGGGCTAGATCTAACTTATTAAGGGGAAATTTCAATTTTAAATAATAACTTCTTGTTAAAATATACTTCAAATATATTCCTTATGACAGTGCAGGCTTCCTCTTGAATTTATGAGCTTAAAGCTAGGTGAAATGAATGATTTTTTTCTGTAAGTTTCACTTTGTGCATAGAAATAAAAATCATTTAACAGTTATGACACAGTAACAGAAAAGAAAATACAAACTCTAATTATATATGAACACAAAAAGATCAAGGATATGCTATATTGATAGTATCCTAAGCACTCATTCAGCTGTTTAGATAAAAGCACTGTCAGTTTCATTAGTATGTCTTACATTGAAGATATAAAAATAGTAGATTCCTTGTTAATGACTTTCATATTGAAATCAGCATTACATTTTCTGATTCTTTTTCATGACTTCCATACCCATTTTAAGAGCTAAAATTTCAATAATATAAGGAAAGGAATTTATCCTTGGTTACGAATTTCTACACTAAGATGTAAATCCTGTTGGAATTTCTTTGACAAGAAGGCTCACAGGAGACCTTATCACATCTTGATGATAGCTCCTGAAATTTGTCAGGTTCTGTTGACTTGTCTGGTAGTGTATCCTCAAACTGCTCAGCTCTTATAAAGATGCAGGCAGCTGAATATTGGCGTTAAGGCCTTTTGTTTATTTCCAAACTGTGTATGTCCAAAGTATTTCACTGTTCACAATTACAAAAAAATATAAAAAAATAAATAAAATAAAAATCCCTCACATTCTGTCATTTTGGGGAAGGGTGAAGAACAGGACTGAGAAATACTCCTTTTTTCCAATGAGCATTTTCTGCTTTCACTTATAATTTTGAGAGGCTTTCTTCATATGTCTGGACTCTTTTGCAAGAAAGAATTGGGACAATCAGATCTGTTTTAACCAGCAGTGATTTCAGTACAGGACCACAATGTCGAGGCTTTCATTTACTACAGCTTTTCCTTCTGTTTGGCAGTTGTGGCATCTCTGCAATGTGCTATGTACAGTAGTGTTAAAACAGAAAGTGAGTTGAAAGTAGTATTTGGATGTTATTTATCTATTCACCAAAATGGACCAAAAATCAGAAAATTTTGTTTTTATTTTAGTGCCCACATGAAGACAGATTACTTGCTACTACTTCATCACCAGTGACTGGTCATGCCAGCAAAATGTACACATTTCCAGGAACACAGCAAGAATCTAGAGACAGATGCCACTGCTTTCCAAATAAAGTATGAGGTTTTCCTATCACTTTTTAATGCATCATCCTGTTTAATCCTGATAGGTATTAACAAAAATAATCTTAATTTTCTTTTGTAGTCATCAAAAATGTATTATTATCTTAGAACGTTGTACATTGTATTTTGCAGTGAAGAAACAGTACATTTTAAAATTTCATTTTAAAATTAGAGTTACAGAGGACTAGAAGTTTTTGTGGTTTCAGCACACACACAAAAAAAAAAAACAACACAACTGCATCAATAGTAAAAATGAGAATTACTACTAAGACATTATATTTAGAGTAAATGTTTTTAATTCAGAATGAATTATTTTCTACATACTGTGTTTTTTCAACCCTTCTGGACATGGCACTACATTTATTCTGACTCATTTGTTTTGTTAGGCTTTTGTGATTAAGACAAGGAATTCAAACCAAATTTGTATTCTGGAGCTGCTTCCTTGTTAATTTCTTTTTTCTTTCTTTTAAAATCAGGGAGAAGCAGGATTACCGGGAGTAGCTGGTTTGCCAGGCCAGAAAGGAAGTAAAGGTGAAAAGGTAAATAGTAATTGCATTCTCTCTTTGAAATCTTCATCTGTGGCTTTTTCTTCTTTAGCAGATGGAAACTTTACAGATATTGTTATTCCATAAAGGGATCTTTTTATATACAGGTTAAATCCTTTATCAGTTAGTCCCTGGTTCTAAGTGTGGCCTTTCTGCCACAGCCTAGAGCTGACTCACTCTGGGGTCCACTCCTACTCACGAATTCCATGGAACACAGTTTACTTGCCTGTGAAACAAGCACACATCCAACACTGACAGTATATTGTCTCTTCTCATTATCCAAACACAGAGAAGTCATGTATGTCATCTATAACAAGGATTTTTCACTACAGTGTATGTGTTTGCTGTTGATGGCCAGAATCCCATGTGGTGGATTAATCTTTTCAGTGGTCGGTAGCAGAGTAAGAATTCACTGATACGACCTCAGTACTTGTGGTCTTTGACATCACGCTTTCCTGAAACTTTCTTAATTGTAAGAGAAAGGGACCTGGCATTGGCAAACCTCTGGGACAGCCCAGTTGGTGTGCCTTTCCATGGGCGTATTCCATACTGTTGTTCTGTAGTGCTTACTGTGACATTCCTGTGCTATTTAGCTTAGGGCTTTCCTAGTAATGAAGGTCATCAGGACATGTCTGGGAAGTGTTTTTATTGTATTCATAGAGGTGCCAATTTGAATAACCTACTGTAGGACTGCAAGAAATACAGTGGTTAGGAATTTTGGGTTCTGGGTGAGATGAAGACACCTGGAAAGTCCTAGTCCAGCAGTTTGTATGCAGATGTCCTAACCCACCATCCTCCCTTACAGCACACTGATTAGTATGTGATCTGAAACAGCTTGTGAAGACATCTAGCGCTGTTCCTAGGACAGCAGTACCCGTCTGAAATTGGTTCAGTTCTGAAAGGGCTTATCCACAGTCAGTTGAAATTGAGTATAAATTCCTAGATAGTGTCTGCCTTTCCCAACTCCTCTCATCCAGCATATGTGTCAATTTTGATACTATGTCCTAGTGGAGGAGAAAGTTCAAATATGTTAGTTTCAGTAGCCTGGCTGAACATAGAAATATTCCTGGTAACCTCCAATCTCAATCACCAACTTTTACTGATCTTAGACCTGAGTATAAAGCACAATTATCTTTGTTAGAGCTACTCTCTGTTACCAAACTCCTATTGCATTGATTTGAAAACCAACCAACAGTCAATGAATCCTTTCAACTTCAATGCATCACTGATAGCAAATTGCACAAGACTATGTGTGTCATGGTTGTAAATTACAAAGTACAAAATTTTCATTTTAGTGGGCATCTTCTCTGATATAGAACTAAGAACTGTTAAGCTTGAAATTAATGAAAAATAAAACTTTCTAGCTTTATATAAAATAGATATTTTTTGCAGCGGACTACTACTTGTAAATCCAAATTTGATCAGGTTATCACCAGCCACTCTACTTGATTGAATCTTCAGAGCCTGAGCAGGATTATGTGCATCCAGCAACTGATCCTACTGATAGTAAATTGACATTTGTTACTGAAAGAGTCAGTTGATTAAAGTCAGAGGTAGTACAGCAAACAGCTAGAAAGCTGTGTAATTTGAACTTTCCTTATAATTCAGCAGTACTTGCTACTTCCTAGCTTTAAGACTGAGAAGGTTGTTGCTGGGGTGCAGGTTTGGCAGTGTGAAGGAGAAATAAAAAAATAAATTACTATTCTAGGGCTGTTCCATCAGCCAGTAACTCCCACAGAGGTAACAGTATTCTGCAGGTCCACTGGAGAAATCACAGTGCAAACACTTGCAGATGAACCAAAATATCTGCTCGCTCCCTTGATGATATAAGTCTTGCTTCTTGTTGTGTGGTGTCAGCTCTCTTAATGACTTGAAAGTTGGAAATGCATGGTTCAGTTTCTCCCTTTTCTGTGATTTCTGCAGTGAAACCTTTCACGCTGTATTCTGTCAAAACACTAATTCAACAGTAAGGGATATTTCCAGTGTCTCAAGTCACATTACTCATGTGATTAATGGGATGGTCTCACTGTTGGCTTCTGAGATCAAATTAATAGTACCTACCTTAATGAACCTGAATACCACATTCTCTGAGGCTTTGCACCACTTTCTCATTTGCTTCTGCATTTGTGCAGGTTTTCTGTACTACTTGCTATCAATGATGACCTTATTGCATCAATAATTAGAGATGGACAAGCAATACCCCAGATGCTCCAAATATATGATTTATTGCCACGTGATGGACAGGAGAGTAACAGACTGTGGTTAAATGTTTTGTAATATGTTTCACATGAAATAGATAGCCTACTGAGGACTGTTGGCCAGGTTTTCAGTCACAAAACAAAAGGTTTCTGTAAGTTTTCTGGTGGTTCTTCAGCCTTTGTTTCCCACTTTGCTTGTGCTCAGCTTTTCCTCCTACTGTTTATTTTGCTTCTAAATCAAATTAATAGCATCCAGGTATTAATATCCAGTATCCAGGACATTTAAATGTCCTTGTCATGGCAGCATCCAAGTAAAAACAAGTTACTGGTAATTTCTAACTTTTTTCCTATAAAATTTATGTATCCATTGATGTCATCTTTTGTTCAGCCCAACATTGCTTATTCTATTATTTACATTGTTTCATTCCAGTTTCCCACCCAAACTAATTAAATATATGGCTGAATTTACATGCCTTTGTGTTGTGATGGGATTGGTAAGAAAGTCTTTGCATGTTCCAATTGGTGTTAGGTTATATTTGAGCTCCTCAAAATTGCCCTTTTATTCAGTCTACCCTAGTTGCTTCTTCAGATCAGACTCTGTTTTGCCTGTTCAGGAATACCTACAGTATCACCAGTTCAAAGCATGACAGCTGATAAGCCCTTTTTAGGCATTTTGTATTTAATTATTAGCCTTTTCTCACGCCATTCCTGCATACTTAGCAGAACTCATCGTAGTACCTCTGAAGGGATCAGCGCCAAAGACCAAAGTGTGTTGTGGGCCCAAATGATTAATGTGCCATGTTTTCACTAGAATAGGCATTTATGTAAATATTGATGTATTTCTAGCAAGCTTCAATACCTACACAGAGGAACAGCACTGATCAAAAATTATTCTATTTGTTTGAAAGACCTTTCTACTTGTACGTCTCACCTTCCATTATGGCTTCATTAAGACATTCATTAAGAGGACAGTTCTTCACTCAGGAACAGAAGTACCTCCCTTAGCTTTGAGAAGGTGCTTCAGGGGTAGAGGAGCTGTTCTGTTTTAAGTCAGTCTTTCTTGCTGGAAGACCAGACTTCAGTTTGATACCACACCACTTACTATGTGGAAAAACAAACAAACAAACAAAAACAAACCAGCAAACTTGCCTCAAGGGCACGAGTCCTTCTTTTTGTTTTTTGTGCAGTCTTGCAATCAGCAATGTTGCACTGAAGGGTATTATTTGCCTGGAGATCCAGATTCCCCAGCTATCCGCAGCAGGGGACAACCTCTTGTTTGAATAATTTAGACTTAGAAAGTCACCAGAACCAACTTTGTTTTCTGTTTATTTGTCTAAGCACTTGAAACACACATTTCAGACTACCCGATAGCTTCTTCCCATCAGATGAAAACTGAGAGACAGCAGCAGTCAGTTGTACAATTTAGGTTATCCTTGAATAATATTCTGTGTTACTCTCATGGTAGGTTAATTCTCACCACAGTGCATTTCACAAGTTTTAAGTGCTCAAAAGTCAGATGGAGCTCTCCTGTGATTTAATACATTTTGATGTATCTTCTGTAGAGTTAGGTTTCTGCTGCTACTGAGCTGAGTGAGAAATGAACCATGTTTTCTGTTTTGGAAGCAAATTATACTACTTTAGCATGATATGTTGCTACTCAGACTCTTAAAAACATATTTATTGCTGGTAGAAGTCTTTTGATCATGATGTCAAGGTCCAGTTTTGCCCTCAACATGTAGAAAATCTTCAGAAAGGCAGAATATAGATGGCAGTAATTGAAATAATTATATATATACTGAATATACAAATTTCCTCTACTGAGGAGGCTACAAAATTAATTGTATGTTAAGTAAGCTTTGTAGCTACAAAAGTTTTTAAATAGAAATCCAAAGAGAATTAAAAATTTAAATTTATTATAATAACCCATTATGAGCTGTGTTAATAGGTTGTTGGTTAATGCTGCAAGCACAGTAGGGAGCAAAAAAACAGAGGCACAGCGCTTTCAAACGTTAAAGTGCCTATTGATGCACACCATGAAGAAGTTTATTGCTATTCAAGTGTGGTTCATTAATTTATATTTTAATTAAAGAAAAAGATGTTTAAAATGCTATTTTAGGCTTGGTAGAAATAGATTGATGCAATATTGTTGCACTGAGAAAATATTTGTGATAGAGTGATTTGAAAAAAGAACTTATGGAGAACAAATGAGGTGTCTGACTGCTTTTTCTGCCTGTTTTCCTTATTAGTCTTCCTTTTTTCCTTCTCTGTCATTCCTCTTATAACCCAGGTTTATCTGATTCCATCTAAGGCATATCTATTGTATTACACCGCCTTGAGAATAGTTCCTTTCTGGTCTGATTTTCACTGCAAGGCTTATTGATAGACTCAGATAGGGACCTAGAGACTGGAATGCATGAAAAAGAAAAATTTCTTGGGCAAAATATGGCTGGCTGTCAGTGGTAATGAAGGGATTTTTGTAAGTCAGGAATTGTCAGAGTACTTGGTAGACTCAAATCGTATAATGGGACAGAGGAAAACACTCCACACATAAACAGAAAAAGAACTTATTGCTAGTCCTCCTTAATATTTTAACTGGATAATGCTCTAAATTCTCTAATTGATGCGGAAAAGCATCATTAGTAATGCTGTTCTTAAAAACAACAACAACAAAACTCTCATATATTTGCATCTTACCATATTCACCATTCCAGTATTCATGTAAGCTCTCAGAATGCCAGACAGTCTTCCCCAAGAAGAACAGAGAGTGTAGCAATGAATCCTCAGGACTCGGAGATG